CGTACTAGGTGGGGGTAGGTACCCACAAGAGCCTTGTAGAACGGGGTTCGTACCGGGTGAGGGTTGGTACTCATCAGAATCTAGCAAAAGCATATTCATACCAGGTGGGGGTAGGTACCCACAAGAGCCTTGTAGAACGGGGTTCGTACCGGGTGAGGGTAGGTACTCATCAGAATCTAGCAAAAGCATATTCATACCAGGTGGGGGTAGGTACCCACAAGAGCCTTGTAGAACGGGGTTCATACCGGGTGAGGGTAGGTACTCATCAGAATCTAGCAAAAAGCATATTCCTACCAGGTGGAAGTAGGTACCCACAAGAGCCTTGCAGAACGGGGTTTGTACCAGGTGGGGGTAGGTACCCACAAGAACCTTGCAGAACAGGCTTCGTAGAATGTAGCAAAAGCGGATTCATACCTGGTGAGGGCAAGTACTCACCAGAGCCTTATAGAAGAAGGCTCAAACCTGATAGGGGTTGGAACCTATCAAAAAAATATTTATCATCTGGAGGATCAGCAAACTTCAGCAAAGGAGCATCCGAAGGATGACCGGGCAAAGAGGGTTAACTCCTTCACCTACCAACTAACTTTGTCGGCACATTAGGCCAACAGTTAGTCAGGCAGGTGAAGGGGGGGCAGCTGTAGACCCCTAATTTTGCCCGACCTCTCAATAAAGACCAGAAGACTTTCTATCTAAAGATGAAGCTTCGGTGGACGTCTATCGGCATCAATTGGCTTCTGTTTGAAGAAAGGAAAGCTTCCCAGGAGTCCCAGAACACAAAATTTGGCCAAAACACTCGAGACAGTCGTCCCAGAAGCCAGGACAGCCGTCCTAGACAGGCCAGACGGCCGTCCCACATGTGAGATGCGCGTCTCACTCAAATTTAGCACTTGGGACGGCCGTCCCAACCTCTGCAGACGGCGGTCCCTGTTTTCTGCACCGCACACAGTCGTCCTGAGCTGTCAGGCTGAAAAAACTATAAATAGGAGCTCATTTGAGCGTTTTTAGACACACTTCACTCTTCTCTTCTCTCCTTCTTTCGAATGAACTCTCCGATTGCCTATAAGGTAGCAATCGGTTAAGGAAGTTTCTTCCGGCATTCGATTCTTCTTAGAATTTTAGTAGAGTCTTTCCTGTATTCGGGGAGGAGAATCCTTGTAGTGCGGGGGATTGCCAAATCACATCCTCACAATTGAAGAGTTATAATAAAAAACTTGCTACGGAGGTTCTTTTCACTTCTCTTCTTTTTTATTGCTTTATTTACTGTTTTATGTATGCAATAGAAAATAGAATCATGTAGATAGCTATTTTTTTTATATTGTATAATAAAATAGGGTAATAGCGTAATTTCTCTTAATCTTTACTTTATGAATTAATTCGTTATAGGGAACCCGAAAGGGGCGTCGTGGGGGTGCTAACACCTTCCCCACGCGTAACTAACTCCCTTACCTAACTCTGGTTATAATGACCATGTTTGATTTTTTCTTAAAATCAACGCCTTTTTATCCTTTTCCAATGTTTATGGTCAAAACATTGGTGGCGACTCCATAAGAACCCTTTTCCGAAAACCTTGCTTTTATTAGAGGATAGTTCAGTTGTTGAGCACCTCAGGAGCAATGATCACATTTTTAAATAAACGCGAGTCTAAACCATCTTTTCACGACCGCTCGCATAAACGTTCGAGATGTCCCTAGACGTCGGAACGAACAGCAGCGACAATGAAGATGAGGAAGAAGATGTAGATGAACCTGAACATAATTCTCCTCTAGTTACTGAAGTCCCCGAGTCCACTGGTGGTCAATCCTCATATGAGAACATGAAAATCATACCCTACATAGAGCAACCTTACTGAGGAACTCCTCTTTCACAGTTTGAGTAGACTGTGCTTTCCCAAATGAATACACTGCAAGAAAATCAAAGAAAGAATATGCAAATGACTTATCAACATTTCTAGCAAACCAACGTCCAATTCACCAACCTAGAAAACCATATTACAGACCTTTATACCAAAATGGAGGATATGTAGTTGAATCAACGAAATTGGGATGATTAAGTTTCATCAAAAAGGGTCCTTTCTATCATAAATTTTTTTTATTTGCTGCTGCTTTCATTTTTGGTCTGTAATATTAACTGATCTTTGATCAGAAACACTATTTGAACTATCCCAGTTATGGTACAATTGTTTAGATTTAAAAAATAATACGATATTAGAGATCTTAGAGATATAATCCACAAACTCTGATTGTTTTAGTTGATAGAGAAATCCTTTTAATCGTTTAAAACCAGAATCTATAACCTAGGTGAATTGCCCAGTAATTGATTTTAATCGATTAATGTTCGAATTAATCGATTAAAACAGTACAATTTGATACTGAAACTTGTTTATGAATCAATTAAAAGTTATAGGATGTGGAACTATATCGACTAAAAATTATTTACATCAATTAAATTCACTAACTGTGTTATCATATTCTATTATTGTGCAAATTTTCCACTCATTCTTGGGTTGTCAATATTCATCAGTAATATGATATCTAATTTTTCTTAACATCATATAACTATTGGATTTTAGCATATTTGACTTAACTTTAAAGTCTTTGCAAATTTCCTTATAAGAGTTAAAATAAACAGCCAAATATATTCATAAAACATCTTACTAGTGATCACTTTTATAAAATTTGAACTGAATTAGGGATCCTAGATGCATCAAACATCACTTAGTTTTCATTCCTGTTTTAATCGATTAAACCATTATTTGTATCAATTAAAATCATTAACTAGATCAATTTAATCGATTGTATCCTGTTTTTAATCGATTATTATTCTACAAAACAAATTAAAGGCTTTAGTTAATGGTTGTTCTTGTAACATGCTACTAAAGCAAGGTTCCCTTATCTTTACACGTATCTATTGTATTCATTGCAAACGTGTTAAGGAAGATAAGTTTGAATCAACTTTAATTGTCTTTGTTAGAATAATATGTCTCAACTTTTTCTTAAAATTTCTCTATGATCTTTAATGTTTGTTGTGACCTGAATACATCTTAAAATATTTTTACTTTATGCATATGTTTGTCATATACCTTTTCTTACCTATTTTTGATGAAGTCAAAGGGGGAGAAATGATTAATAATGAATACTCACTAATTTATATATATCTAACTAATTTCTTTTGCAGATCAAGATCTTTTAAAGAGATGTTTGTCTTCATCAAATAGGGGGAGAGAAAGTGATGAAGATCTGATTAAATCATTTGATAAAACGAAGATCTTATGGATTTGATGAAGTCAAAGGCCACTTGGGTTAAAGGGTAGAGTGATTAGTGGGTTTGCATCTACACATAGGTATAATCATTCATATCTCTCTACTGCATGAGGTTTCATCATTTGAAAGAATTTGAAAATGCCTCTAAAGATGTTTTAATCTATTAAAAACCAAATTAATCGGTTAAATTGTTTTTAAGAAATTGTTTTAACTGATATTCTATGAGCTTCATCAATTAAAATGTTCTTACAACTTACATGACATATTTTTAACTAATAGGTTTCGAAATAACCGATTAAAACCATTTAAAACATTCACTGAAACTGTTTTAATCGATACACTTTCGAAGTAATCCATTATTTTCATTAAAGGAGTTTTTGAAAATCTTCTGCCAGTGTTTTAATTGATATAGGTTCGAAATAATCGATCAAAATCACTTAAGATGTTTTGAAAAGTGTTCTGGTAGTATTTTAATCGATATAATTTCTAAATAATCGATTAAAAGCACTTGAAATATTTTGAAAAGTGTTATGTCAGTATTTTAATCGATGCAATCTTGAATTAATCGATTAAAATAACTTGAGATGTTTTGAAAGATGTTTTGTTGGAATTTTAATCGATGTAAAATCGAATTAATCGATTAAAACAACTTAAGGAACTTTTTGCTAACTATTTTAATTGATTAAAACTTGTTGTTATCAGTTAAAAATCACTTAGAAAGTTTTTGGTAGAATATTAATCGATTAAACTATGAAATAATCGATTAAAACAACTTAAGGGACTTTTGTTAATTGCTTTAATCGATTAAAACTTTATTGCATCAGTTAAAATAAATCTAGAAAATAATCAAGAACATATTAACAGATTAATCAAGACTTTACCAAATTAAAAGATTATTTTAACAGATTAATTAAACCAGCAGTTGAAATAAATCTCTATATAAACATATTTGATTCAATATTTTAAAACATACTTTTGAGCAATCAATCAAGAAATCATAAGAGCTACTTTCAAGAGAGAATCGCACAAGTTTTGTGACATTTTTCAAAGTTCTTTCTTGAGGCATCTTTTGCATTCATTTGGTGAAGAAACTCATTCTATAGGAGCTGCATAATCCGGGTTTGATTGTTCTAGTTTCTTTTCTTTGTTCTTTCAATTTCTTTATTGTATTGTGAGTGTCTGGAATTGTTTGGCACTGGTTCTGTAGCTGGAATTTGGTTGCAGGTTGGTTCAAGAACTAGAATTTAGTTCTTGGTAAAGGTTTAGGTGCAAGATCTAGAATTTGGGTCTTGTGGTAGATTGGGTGTGTGATTGGAATCTGTAATCTGTAAAACATTCAATCTAGTGAAACTCAGCTAGAATTTAGCTAAGAACTAGAGGTAGCCCTAGGATTGGGTAAACCAGTATAAATCTTGGTTGTATTTATCTAAACCTTACTCTCTTTAATTATGCTACTGTCTTACTTTGAATAGCTTGATTTTCTTGGTTCAAGATTTGGTTAAAACTTTCAATCTTTGAAATAGATAATCTGTAAATTGCGAAAATCTTTTAAAGATCAATTCACCCCCCTCTTGATCTTAGCCTCTTTTTCTAACATTAGTTTTTCCATTCAAGTTACACACCATAAAAAGAATAATTTGCAATTTCACTCCTTGGATTGATACTTGGTTTACCTTTTACTACATTTTTTTTGGGAAACTAAATTTTGAAAGTCTATGCAACTAAGGGTTTGGGTTTGAGTGCCTGATTGGGCATTTGAAGCTATTGGTCAAGAAACAAGGGGCACAAGACAAGATGTTGTTGCATACCATCCAGGACTTTACGTAACTCTACCTCAAGTAACTGATGTTTATAGACTTATTAATTTCATATTAAAACTGTCATTTTTTCACATGTTAGTTAATGGAATATTATGAATGTTAGCTGAGTACCAAGAACTCCATGCAATTTGTTGTAACAGTGAGGCTAGAGAACTTTATTCAAAGAAACTTGCCAAGTTTATTGGAAAGCATCCCAAATCAAAATGGGTTGCATTTGAAAGTTTCTAAATACACTGAGTAATCGATATAATGTTTAGAAAATATGTCTATGTGTTTTATAATCATTTTAGTTTGTGCCCAATACTTCCTGCAATCACATAGAGCACCTCCTCTCGGATGGGATACTCTTGCATCAAGATAAATTTATTCAACAAGTTAGTAACCCGTAAGTAAAACTAAACTTAAGTATCATTTATTGAACTTTATATTACTAAATCATAATTTACACATTGAGAATTTTAAATTATAAGAAGAGGTTTGTTCCTGATTCAGTGACTCAAGATATTATATCTGAGTTACTCATGAGAATGCCTAATTCAACACCAAATTGGAAAAAATTATTCTATTGATATGAAAGAAAATTTATTCAATGATTTTATGGTTAGTAATTATTGTGTTAAAGTACTTAAATAGTTTTGATTTACCTTTTTTATTAAACAATGAATTTATCTAATTTTTATTGGTGTAGAACAAGTATAGTTTTGCATCAACTTATGATCAGAGTATGGCAAGAAAGGTTTGAAATCTGACATGCATGAATCAATATTCGACTCTTTAGCTAAGGCAAGGAAAAAGGTAAAACAAAAAGCAAATTCGAGATAATATCCAAGACGTAGAGGGTCTTGGACTAAGAAGTATAAGGAGTGAGATGTGCAATGGTTTAGTAGACATATGGGTAAAAAAGAATGGAAAAAGAAGTATATTGCATGTAAGGCCAATAGGGCTACCAAGCCTTATGCCATGATGCACACAGGAGGGTAAATGATGTATGTCATTTTACTCTTTATTTTTTTATCTAAAAGTATTCTCTAAGCAAATTGTTTTCTTCATAAACCATTCATTTAACATGTTTTCATGAAAAGCAGAACATAATTAATTTTTTCTTAATTTATTGCATTTTACATAGTGTTAGAATCGCGCAGTGGAATGTTCGCGTGGTCGGACAAAAACCAAGAGGGGGGGTGAATTGGTTTCTTAATAATAATTAGGTTTTCAAAATTTTCCCCAAATTTTACCGATTAAAAACTGCGTAAATGTAAATAGAGAAGAGTAGAGAAGATTACACAGTAGGTTGATACTGGTTCGGATCAAAAGACCCTACGCCCAGTTGCTAATCACTCAAAAGAGGATTAACGCTGTCACTAAGAACAAATTGTTACAAACAGATTACAAATGAACAGATAAAGATAAGAATACACCTCTCTTGAAATCCACAAGAGATGATGAACAGCTTTCCCTGGAGACGGCACAACACACAATCCACTAAGAACTCCACTTAGTGATTCTTATCGCTTCTAGCCCACACCAGGTTCAGAAAGCCCCAAGAGATGAAGAACAGCTTTCCCCAGAGACGGCACAGCACACAATCCACTAAGAACTCCACTTAGTGATTCTTATCGCTTCTAGCCCACACCGGGTTCAGAAAGCCCCCTTTCCTTGCAACAAACAGTTCTCTGGCACTCACAGCACTTAACTTTTGTATGGAAAGAGTTGTTCTTATTTTCTGAGTGCCAAAGGAGATTTTAAGTAGGGAAATTAGGGTTTAGAAAAAGGGGATTTCGAAACTAGGGTTCTTGGTAATTGGGTTTTCGAAAATAGGGTTTGTTTGAAGTTTAAAATCGAAACGATCTGGAATAATCGATTATTTGGAGTAATAATCGATTAAAACGAAGCCAAATACGACAGAACCCAATCCTCTCTGGTTTAATCGATTATTTGATGAAATAATCGATTATCTGTATGGAACTATACGGAATAATCGATTATTTTGCTGTTTAATTGATTAAAGCAGTGAGTTTTAGACAGAAAATGGTTTTCTCACTGTTTTAATCGATTATATACCTATTTAATCGATTAAAGCCGAGCCTGAATGATAAATTTGAGCATTTTGAAGCTTCTAAGTTACAGACTATGTACCAGCTATCTTAGACTCTAAAATTACAGACTCAATCAAGCTAAAACAGAGTTATTACAATACAGAAATCATCAATCTTCAATCTTCAATACTCTAAGTCTTTAAGCTCTTGGATCATCATCAAAATCAACATTCTTCATGATCATTATTTGCAACATCAAGTCCTTGAATGTTCAACAATCTCCCCCTTTTTGATGATGATCAAAATTATCTTTTTAAAGCCCTTGTAATAACCTGTTTTATCTATCATACTAACAAACACATTAAACATACCAGATAAAATTTAAAATTGAATCATAGGCTTTAAATTTTTCTCCCCCTATTTTGATTATAATCAAAAAGAACTCTGAAAGAACAAACATTAGATCTCCCCCTCAAAATATGCATAATTAAGAGAAAGCTCCCCCTTAATCATAGCATGAAAGAAACATCAAATTTTATTTCATAATCATTCATTCATTACAATATAAAGATATTAATAAAATCTAAAATTCTTCACTATCCTCATCATTAAAGTGAGTATCAAATCTTTTTTTTAATCTACACACTTCAATATCCGTTGGCAACGGCTATGAGGCAAGACTGGTCGCATTTAATCGATTATATCTCAAAATAATCGATTTTCTCTATATCAGACAGCTTTAATCGATTATTTCTAGCAAATAATCGATTATTTCACGAAATAATCGATTATTCCAGAGGAGAATACCCTGTTTTGGACGTTTTGAGGGAAAATAATCGATTATCATTTCCAGTAATCGATTATTCCAGAGGCTATATCAAGTTTTTGAGATTTATATGCATAATAACCTATGAACATGCTACACCACGAATTTTAACATAACAATCATCCAGAAACAGTCAAATTAAGCAGATTTTAAGCTATTTCTAATATCCCTAAGTCTCTTCTAAGATTATAGAATCTATCCTTGGGTAGAGGCTTAGTAAATATATCTGCTAATTGACATTTAGTGTCTACATACTCTATTTTGTAGTTTCCTTTGCTGATATGATCTCTTAAAAAGTAATGTCTAATCTCAATATGTTTAGTCCTAGAGTGCATTACTGGATTCTTAGTTAGATTGATTGCACTCGTATTATCACACATTAATGGAATGTCATTTAAATATATGTTATAATCCTCTAATTGTTGTTTCATCCACAGAATTTGAGCACAACAACTACCAACTGCAATATATTCAGCTTCAGTGGTAGATAAAGCTACACATGCTTGTTTCTTAGAATGCCATGATATTAAGGATGAACCTAACAAATGACATGTCCCACTAGTGCTTTTCCTATTAATTTTACATCCACCATAATCAGCATAAGAATATCCTAATAAACTAATACAAGCATCAGACGGATACCACAAGCCAAATCCAGTAGTTCCTTTTAAGTATTTTAAAATATGTTTTACTGCAATTAGGTGAGATTCTTTAGGACAAGCCTAAAATCTAGCACACACACAGACAGAATGCATAATATCAGGTCTACTTGCAGTTAAGTATAATAGTGATCCTATCATACCTCTATACATAGTTTGATTAACTTTCAAACCTGATTCATCCTTGTCTAGATAGCATGAAGTTCCCATGGGTGTGTTAGCTTCCTTTGAGGTGTCCATACCAAACTTTTTGAGAATCTCCTTGCAGTATTTAGTTTGAGAGATGAAATTGCCATCTTTAAGTTGCTTGATTTGTAGTCCAAGGAAGAATGTCAATTCTCCCATCATAGACATTTCAAACTCTCCCTGCATAATCTTAGCAAATTCTACACACAGCGAATTATCAGTTGATCCAAAAATAATATCATCAACATATACCTGGACCAATAAGATATGTTCTTTAACTTTCTTAATAAACAGTGTAGAATCAATTCTTCCTCTTGAAAAATCATTTGCAGATAGGAAACTACTTAATCTTTCATACCAAGATCTAGGAGCTTGTTTTAACCCATATAATGCTTTCTTTAATTTGAAAATATGATTAGGATAATTAAAATCCTCAAATCCAGGGGGTTGCTCTACATACACTTCTTCTTTAATAAAACCATTTAAAAATGCACTTTTAACATCCATTTGATATAATTTAAATTTCATCATAGATGCATAAGCAAGAAGTAGGCGTATAGCCTCTAACCTGGCAACAGGAGCATAAGTTTCATCATAATCTATACCTTCCTCCTGGCAATAGCCTTTTGCAACAAGTCTGGCTTTATTCTTTGTTATGTTCCCATCTTCATCAAGCTTATTTCTGAATACCCATTTAGTTCCTATAACTTGATGTGACTCTTCTCTTGGGATTAATTCCCAGACTTGATTCCTTTCAAATTGGTTAAGTTCTTCTTGCATGGCTATGCACCATTGATCATCTTTAAGTGCTTCCTCAATGTTTTTAGGTTCAATCTGTGACACAAAAGCAACAGACATACAGAAATTATTCATATTTCTAGTTCTTACCCCTTTTGAGATGTCACCTATAATGTTGTCCAATGAGAGTCCTCTAGGTGATTGCCATTCTTTTGCTAATTGAGGAGTTTGAGAAGGTTCATTATCCTCCAAATATAATTCATCAAGAGCCTCCTTTATATATTCATCATCACCTGCAAGTCTTTTATTTGACTCAAGAGGATTTCCCCCAAGGTCTACAATCTCATCAAAGGTAACATGTATAGATTCTTCTATATTCAAAGTTCTCCTATTAAACACTCTATATGCCTTGCTAGTTAATGAATAACCTAGAAAAATGCCCTCATCGGCTTTTGAATCAAATTTTCCTAGATTGTCCTTTCCATTATTTAGTACAAAACATTTACAACCAAAAATTTTCAAATGTTCAACCTTAGGTTTTCTACCATTAAATAATTCATATGGAGTAGATTTAATAATTGACCTAATGAGCATTCTATTTAAAACATAACATGCAGTACTAACCGCATCAGCCCAAAAATATTTAGGAACATTAGATTCATTTAACATAGTTCTTGCAAGTTCCTCTAATGACCTATTTTTCCTCTCAACTACACCATTTTGTTGGGGAGTCCTAGGAGCAGAAAAGTTATGTAATATACCATTTTCCTCACAATAATTCTCAAACTTTTCATTT